GCTTTTCTACCAATACTTAATGTTTCTAAGTTTTACAATCCTAGTAGAACTAAATCTGCGGACATATTGTAAATCAATTTAGACTCTCGGCTTTCACGTTAAACAGCAGAGCAGACGTAAAGTTCATTACTACAAAACAAGTACAACATACAAGACAGGAGATCAAACAATGTTTTTGGAGGCAATGTATCACGGCAAATCAAGTACATCTGTTAGTGAATTTGACGTCTGTTTACAATGAATTGTAGGTAATTTGAGGTAGTATTGAGCTAAAGGTAACGAGAGAACCGATTAACGCATGGTAAACCTAATATTCTTCTGTATATTGAGATATTTTCATTGGTTAAAGGGGGTGCACTAATTTTACTTTGATAAAACTCACAAGAGGGCCGTTATTAAATTTATTAAAATCAAAAGAAGCGTGTGAAACAATGGACTACAGAATTACCAGAAGTGGACATAAAGTATTAATAGTGTTTTTGTAAGATGGTGAATATGTGGCTCACAAAAAACAAAATTGATATCATGTCTTACTTCTTACATAATACAAGTCCAGAAGAAAATTTTCCTTTGACCCATTCTTTTGAAATTTAGCACAATTTGTCACACGTTAAACAGACCATGCTTGCTTTTCAAAACACCTGATGATACTTTTCTTTGGACTACTGTACTACTTTCACTCCCGATTTTGCCATACGAGAGAGAATTTAGATTGACAGAATCGTCCTGCTGCGATATCTGTAACAGGCATCACACTGTAATTATAATTAGTAAGAGGGAATCTCACTTTAAAAATTATCACTTTCAGGGAGGTGTTTTGATTGGTTAAATTCCTGCCAAAATGAATCTGCCTTTCGTTGATTTCGTTTTGTCTTTTAACGCCATATGAACACTCTTAACGCTTTGTGTTACAGAACTCCCGCGGAGTTAATTTGTTTGTTTTGTCTTCAGTAACAAGATGTCTGTGATCTATTTCGTGATCTCTGATTTTTTAACTCACAAGTAGATCTTTTAAACATGTTCTGGTGAAAATGATCGGTGAAATGATTAAAAGTTAAATAGAATTAGAGACTAAATGAACTTTGAGGGGTACAAGGTGTTTTGAGCCTTTTATGCATATTCAGTGACAGTTATAGCTTCTATTTGCATAATTTGCAGGAATTTCGATAGTAATATTGGACTCTGTTCTAAGTTTTTCAGGTATTTTAACAGAAATTCAAGAATTTAATAAACTCAGAGGAGCACAAGAAGTTCCTTGAACTTTGAATGTATTTTGGAGATACTTGAAGCTTCTTTTGACTTGCTCTCTCATCGGCAGATTAAGTGTCAAAATAACGGTTTACAGGCAAGAAATTTCAAGAACAAGGTTTCAAAAGTCAGTTTATAATCTCAAACACCTAATTAACGTAAAAAACCTGTTATTAATCAAACTATCAAAGTAAATACCAGGTCTACAGCTAGGCTAGATTTACTGTACATGTGTAAACATGCATGCATTTTTTTCATACGCAGGTTGACCTACTTAATCAGGTTAATACGTAACAGATCTGTGTAAGATAATTTATTTTAAAACATGCAGCATGACATGCCGGGTACCATGTGTTTTTAATTCCCAGGTGTTTTCACTTTCTCGTCAAAAACACATCTTGAAAAAAGCTTGTTTCCAAATCTGCGAAAAATTTAAATTTGAAATTGTTAATTCCTCTAATCACTATAACCCTGTGCCAGTGCCTATTGTTAAAAGGTCATTAATTATTAACCCCTAAAGATAAACAAAATGTGAATTTTTTTTATGAAAAAGGTCATTGTATTTGGTGAAAGTTCATCACCTTATGAAACTATTTGGATCAAGTGAACTGAGGTCCAATTTATGTATTGGTGGAGTGGGATAATTTAATTCTTTTAGACTTTATAAAAAGTACAGTAGTAGAAATATTTCAATTTATATGATACAATTAAATTAACTGGGATTATTTAGATCAATTCAATAGCAATCCTTGATAGCCTGTACCGCAGTAGAAATAGCTCTGTATAATCCAATCAAATTTCAGTAAACATCAATTTGGACAATTCAAACACCCAAATCAGAATTGAATATTAACTTCCAGTCTATCAAATTATTTCACATTTTATTGGCCTAACATCAAATAGGTTTTCTTTTATTTTACTGATTGGGATAATTTCACCATTTGTTGTATTAAATACTTTAATATTAAACCATGATACGATAGTTTTGTAGGTTGATAAATTGAAAATTGGCATTTAAATTGGTTTTCATTGTTTCAGGAAAGCTAGTCTGTACCTTACAGTCAAAAAATATATAAATAAGTAACACATTCTACTGTTCTGTATCTGATCACAGTTTTCAAAGATTGGCGTAATAACAGTTTAACACCTTATTATTCTGTATCTTTGAGCTAGGAGCAAAATTTATTCCCTTCAACATTTTGATTCACCAACTCAACATGCCATAGGACATGGTTTGGAGGTTCTATCTCTCCAATTAATGCTTAGTCAATTCCAAGTTTTTGTGGAAAAAACATAATAACTAATAGTTACTTGATGTATATTTAAGTACTCACAGATTTTGTAACTGAAACAAGGAAATAAATTGAGACTTGAATAAGATATCAGATTGTTCAGAGTCTTGTAGTACTGTGTAATGCCAGATTACCAGGAATAATGTAATAAGTGTAGGTAGATAGAGATGTTACTATGAGTGACAGGAACAGAGAGTTAGTATCAGTCTGAGGTGTGAAGTTACTAAACAAACAAAACATCATGTTAAACATTGTGTTAACATTTATCATCTCTCCTTCCTGCTTCTTAATTTATACTTTCAGTTAAAATATTGCTAAAATACCAAAACTATCATATCCTACATTCTTCTAGAATTTATAACTTCTTTAAATATAGTTTCATAGACAAATACCCAACTTGATAGTTTCAGTCTTACTTTATATATACTGGTAGCCTTTATTGTTAGACAATGTATCATACACCATCCCCCTACCTCTCTCCTACCCCCTCCCTCTTCTTTTAAAATACATCTAAAGTAAGCTTAATTTTTATGACAGGTGAGATTAGTTCTTTTACAAAAGAAATGTATAGTTTTATCTTAGTAGGAATAATTTGGGTCAAATAGTAACAAACTGACAAATAAACCACATAAAAATACCAAACAATAGTCAAGAACCAGAGGGATATGATGTTAAAATCAATCAACAGGGCCATAAATCTCGTAGAATTTCAATAACCGCTTAACGATTGGCTCAAATTATTCTTATAGTAACAACTAATTACAATATGGCCGACATCGTATCGATAACGTGTTTAAATCGTTAAAACTCCTCGATGAAATTCTGGGTATCATTAAGAAAATCTACCACAAAACGACGTCTTCAGCTTAACTCAAGATTAGACAGAGACAACTATTGATCTGAAAGACGAGAGTTTTCCTCAAGGCATGGCCACCATTATTCGAATTGGGTGACTCACAATTTTCTCAATTTTGTCGCAAAATAGAAATTCTGATACAATTGACTGATATCTGTGACAATCATTAATTTCCAACAGGTGTTATCAAGCTCCGTGATTTCGCTCGGCTACGATTTAAAATCTCAGATTATACGCTGTAATACAGCGAAATATCAACCATCGGAAATATTCTACGGAATGAAATGAGCAAGATCGATAAAATACAATTTAGTACAAAAAAGAATCAGTTTGTTAATTTGGATTTTAAGATTCTTATCAGTGACCTATCTAAATTAAGAAATAACAGGGGAAACCATGTTGAAAAATCTGAAGGTATTATCTCGACCTATGCCGGGATTGAATCCTGGACCTTCAGGTTGGCATATCTTATATTAATAGAAAATTCAAATAAAAAATCTGATCCTCTTTAATTTAGTATACATTAGATCATACAGTATTATGTATTACTGAAACATGTTTCAGGTTCTCGCTCATGGATTCTCAAACATCGAATGATAAAATGTGCAGTGTGATATTAACTTTATTTCAAGTCAATCAAAATTTTATCAGTGATGTTCAGATAAGAAATCATGTGTCTTGGAGAGACAATCCTCATCAGGACAGCTAGTAAACATTCACCGATTAGAGTGACAAGTCAACAATGCAAATATGTGTATTCTGCAGTATGAACAATCTCAAATTGACTCGAGCTCATTTCATGCTGAAGATATGTTTTGGAAACACAATCCTCATCAGGACAGCAAGACATGGAAACTCTACAAGGAAGAAAACACTTGATTTTCCCTAACATAATCCTAAATTACAGCAATCTCAATTCTCTAATGTTCTTTTTTCTGCATGCAGATTTTGAAGCAGACGACATAATCTAATCAACCAATCAAATGTCTGAGAATTAGATTTAAGGTGACTCAGAAGAGAATTTATTTGACATCATAAAAAATCTTAACTCAATTTTCAACAAGACTAGAAATTCTGAAGAGTTGAGTTTGATGGTAATTTTGTCTCCGTCTAAGACAATAGCCGGTCATTTCAGTGCAGATTTTGTACTATGTAACACATGTGGTACAAATTTTAAAATTAAGGGGAAACATTTAGGTCAGACATTTTTTCTTTTTAAGTCTTAAACTCCATTAATTGTTATAACGCCACATTGTCAAAGTGATTGAGTGCAGGTTTAAATATCTGTTAATTTTGGATAAAATTTTGGTAACATTAAAAACCAAATGTCCTCATGTTCTTCACCTGATTGGGATAATGAAGACAGACAACACCATGCAGTGTGCAATGAGGGAGTATGGTGGCATCAGTCTACTCCTTTTGATTTTTAACTGTTAAGGGGGCACAGGTTCAAGATCCCTCAACAGTTAGAAATACATAGATTCTTTCATTCATTCCTTCATTTATATATTTCTTCATTCCTGTATTCAAATATTCATTCATTTATTCCTTCATTCCCTCATCATTATTCAATTATTCATTCCCTCATCATTATTCAATTGTTCATTCCCTCATCATTATTCAATTATTCATTCCCTCATCATTATTCAAATATTCATTCATTCATCCCTCACCATTATTCAATCCCTCATCATTATTCAAATATTCATTCATTCATCCCTCACCATTATTCAATTATTCATTCCCTCATCATTATTCAATTGTTCATTCCCTCATCATTATTCAATTATTCATTCCCTCATCATTATTCAAATATTCATTCATTCATCCCTCACCATTATTCAATCCCTCATCATTATTCAAATATTCATTCATTCATCCCTCACCATTATTCAAATATTCATTCATCCCTCACCATTATTCAATTATTCATTCCCTCACCATTATTCAAATATTCATTCATTTATTCCTTCATTCATTTATTCCTTCATTTAAATATTTCTTCATTTTATTTCTTCATTCACTCATCTACCATCATTATTCCATCGTTCATTCATTCATTCATTCATTAGAAGGACCTTAAGTGTATTTGTCAGATGACTTCTAAAAGACAGAATTAAATTCATGCCTGCCTGCACGATTTTATTGCTTGCCATTTTTTTCTCAATTGAGGCACGTAACTCATTTACACTGCTCAAATAGAATGTACACGAAGGAACTTGTTTTAAAATTACAGCTTTCAGCACTGGTTGACCAGGATTCAGATTTAATTGTGTTTTTATGATAAATACTGAGTCATGTCCAAGACTGTCGTCTGCTTACTCAGCAACCATTTTATTAACAACTAAGACATTTCACAGCAATCTGGTGAAATTCTAGTCACTTTGGACATCCTCAGAAAAATATCTGTTCCTTTTAATTTTCACTTGCTTTTCTGGGATCTTAGAAAATCATCACCATTACAAGTAATCTGTTACTATTTAAACAGGTTCATTTTATACCTTAACAAATCCTGCCCTTAATTATTAATGAACTAATCCAAACAAGTGAATGCATTTTCATTTTATATCAATCACATTAACCTTCCTGCATAATTAATGAACTAATCCAACAACATGCATGTATGTTTAGTTTAAATTCTTGCCTTGATAGCAATATCCGATAGAAAAACCTGAGTTTAGGACATTTGTGGGATAAAAAAAAAAATCACCTTACCTTGTTTTCGACATTTTGCCCGGCCGTCACCGGTTTCGTCGGAATAATCACCACAATGGTCGATATTATCACAGACTAGATCCAGATCTATACACCATTTATTATCACATTGAAACTGAGAACCACACGTCTCATGTTTTAAATAATCTGAAATAAACAAAATAATCTTTAGTCAAGGGCAATAACTCATGGTTAAAACTGAGAACCACACGTCTCACGTTTTAAATAATCTGAAATCAAAATCAGGGGATGAGACAAGGGCAATAACTCTGGTTGAAACTGAGAACCACACGTCTCATGTTTTAGATAATCTTTAGTCAAGAGCAATAACTCCTGGTTAAAATGAAGACCCATACACTTCAAAGAGTTTTAAATAATCTGAAATAGAAATCAGGGTTTTAATCAAGGGCAATAACTCATGTTCAATATTAAATTTTCAATGGTTTAAATCTAAAATATATATAATATATAAGGGATCTATACAAGGGCACTAACTTATGGTTGTAGAATTTAGAACACGGAAGTTGTAAAGAGGAAGAAGATCACCACATATTAGCGTAAGAAAATCTATCTTGCTAGTGAATGAGGCAGGGTAGACTGAGGTAAATACTTGTACAATTACAAGTAATTGGTTTGAATTAGCAGACAGATTCAAGATGGTGGTACGTTAACGAACAATTCCGTCAACCCTACTTCCTATTAACAATCAAATACATCAACCTTGTGTCCGGGTCAACCAGTCATCACAATACTCTTACACAATCAATACTTGTCAAAAGGAAATTTAATTTCCTGGTATGTTCTGGTCTACTGATCAAAAGACACAGAATCACTTTAGCTGGGAACAATTGGTCTCATAGGTCTACATCAATGAATTAGCAACTTGTACTTTCTAACTTTATGATTATATGTGCCAGGTTACTAGTGCAGTAAATTAAAAGGGATACAGTCAAATAATTTCTTGCTTCGCCGACTGATTGTTACTGCATCCCCTTTTGGAATTCAATTCCTTGACTTATAGTCAGTCCACATTTAAACCAACAGAAATGTTGACAATTTCCCAGATCATTTTTCTAATACCTAGAATAAGTTGATATAGTACCTGCAATTGCAAAATTTTCAACAAAAAAAGTCCTTTCAGAAGAGGTATTAACTAAATAAAATCAGAAAAAAAGAACTAGAGTTTGGATGATAATATATCTTATTTTTAAGTTAATAATAAATGGTCAGAAAAAGTGGAATTGGGTTAAAAATAAGATAAGATATGAAGATATTAGCTATATTGAGAAGAGATATCTGGTCTGGATGAATGATATCTGGTCTGGATGAATGATATCTGGGATGAAAGATGGATGCTAAATTTAAAGATGAGGATGGTGAGAAAAGATAAACAGTGACAAGATTTATTAACTAATTAACAACTTCGTTATCATTATAATTAAACATGTTTTTTTGGTTGTGGGTCGACTCAGATTAACAAGATTTATTAATTAACATCTCTGTTTTTAAAATAATCAAATGTTCTTTTGATATGTAATGACCAAACACATACATACAACTCAACAGTTATCAGATTATCTAACCAAACCAAACCAACAACTACCATTCATCTACCAATCAACAAGAAATACCATGATCAGAACGAGTTTGGAAGAATGAAGGAGAACGAGTAACTCACGCCACACCATCCAGGGCTGAGTTTCACCGCCATGTCATTCGACCCGAACAGATCTAACGAAGAATCAACAACCAAACCAACAACACAGAATCATCCAATTTGAACCAATCCAACTACCAACTACCTAGTCTGTGATATCAGCATCCGCTGGAAGCGAACGTTTACTTGTCATCTACCAACAACTACCTAGTCTGTGATATCAGCATACACTGGAAGGGAACATTAACTTGTCATCTACCAACAACTACCTAGTTTGCGATATCAACATCCGCTGGAAGCGAACCTTAACTTGTCATCTACCAACAACTACCTAGTCTGTGATATCAGCATACACTGGAAGGGAACATTAACTTGTCATCTACCAACAACTACCTAGTCTGCGATTATCAGCATCCGCTGGAAGCGAACCTTAACTTGTCAACTACCAACTACCTAGTCTGTGATATCAGCATACACTGGAAGGGAACATTAACTTGTCATCTACTAACAACTACCTAGTTTGTGATATCAGCATCCACTGGAAGCGAACCTTAACTTGTCATCTACCAACAACTACCTAGTCTGTGATATCAGCATCCGCTGGAAGGGAACATTAACTTGTCATCTACCAACAACTACCTAGTCTGTGATATCAGCATACGCTGGAAGGGAACATTAACTTGTCATCTACCAACAACTACCTAGTTTGCGATATCAGCATCAACTGGAAGGGAACATTAACTTGTCATCTACCAACAACTACCTAGTCTGTGATATCAGCATCTGCTGAAAGCGAACGTTTACTTGTCATCTACCAACAACTACCTAGTCTGCGATATCAGCATCCACTGGAAGAGAACGTTAACTTGTCATCTACCAACAACTACTTAGTTTGTGATATCAGCATACACTGGAAGAGAACGTTTACTTGTCATCTACCAACAACTACCTAGTTTGTGATATCAGCATCCACTGGAAGAGAATGTTTACTTGTCATCTACCAACAACTACCTAGTTTGTGATATCAGCATCGGCTGGAAGCGAACGTTAACTTGTCATCTACCAACAACTACCTAGTCTGTGATATCAGCATCCACTGGAAGGGAACATGAACTTGTCATCTACCAACAACTATTTAGTCTGTGATATCAGCATCCGCTGGAAGCGAACCTTAACTTGTCATCTACCAACAACTACCTAGTTTGTGATATCAGCATCCGCTGGAAGTGAACGTTAACTTGTCATCTACTAACAACTACCTAGTCTGTGATATCAGCATTCACTGGAAGGGAACATTAACTTGTCATCTACCAACAACTACCTAGTTTGCGATATCAGCATCCGCTGGAAGCGAACGTTAACTTGTCATCTACCAACAACTACCTTGTTTGCGATATCAGCATCCGCTGGAAAGCACTTAAAATATAAAATAGACAAGAAATAGGTTGAAAATAGCCTGTATTTTAGAATAAAGATTAGATAAGATATAAGAGATTATGTCATGTCCACCAGATATAGAATGATTTTATTAACATAATGTGTCTATATTATCTCATATTTCAGGAAAAATTATCCCATTTTCTATAATTTAATTTCTAAATATATCAATATATTAAAATTTAATAAGTGTAGAATTACCTCAACCATAATTTAGACATCAGATTTAATTTACTTAAATTTCAAAGTAAGTAGAAGAGATGTATTTCTGTCGAAACAAGATATTTTAGAGATTTTGTCCGTCTGTTGTCAAATTTTTAACTGGCTCATTTAAAATGAATATATCGGATAAATTTTTTCATTAACAAATATCGGGAAGATCATTGGCCAAAACTTTACTTTATATTCTTTTATTTGATTGGTCAATGACAAAAATTCATGTCAAATTAACCAATCAGATTGCTTCATCTTTTAATTGTGATTTAATCTTAATTTAATTTTCAAAAATCTGGCCACCAACATAAGAACAATTATTCTTTGCTGTTAAGAAACAGAAACGGGACCTAAAAAGTGAACAAACTTAACAGAACAGAAATTTGATCAAAAGGAGAAATGCCACTATTTAGGAAAACTTCCAGCAGACTATTTGTGTAAAGTATCTGTCAACAGTGAAGCAGATATATTCACGTTTAAACTTTATCAGTTTCTAGCTTTATATTTACACAAAATATTATCTCTATCAACTAAAAAAATCACACCAAACGTTAAAAATATGATAGTTTAACTCGATAAATACCAGTTAATGATGTCATAATCGTGACACGAAAACAAATAACAAAATGGCAGCTTGTTTGTCAGCGGTGCAGATCTGTATTTTTATGTTTGGCATGTGTCAAATAAATCTACGTTATTGATGTTTCTGACTAACAGTGCCCTCTTCTGGTCAAAATAATATCAATATTAACCAATCATTGGATGAGTCTAAAAGATTAAAAAGTCTGCTTTCAATTTACTTGAAGAAAACCATTGACTATTTAAATTTTACTTGTTAGCCATTTCATTTAGGTTAAAAACAATTATTAAACATTAATAAATCAACAATATTAAAATCTAATAGAAATTAGAAGAAAATTTTTCAAAATGTAAACTGACTAGAGCTGTAGAAGGACAAAATATGATGCCCCACCGACCATCTTTCCCACTCTCTAGGAGAATAATTTGAAGGTAAAAAACTGTTGAGAATCCAGGTGAGTTCATTACAATCTTGACAGGTAGAAAATATCGTTAGCTTTTATCTTAATTATTCCACTAATTAACTTAACATAGTTTTAACATATTTCTTTTTATCTCCAGACCTCACAGACTTTCAAATCTTGCTGCCAAAATTCCTCTTAATTCAAGACTTGCAGAGTTCTGGACTGTTGACATATAAAAAACAAATTTATTTCTATATTTCAGGATCTTTTCTTTAAATGAACGATACATTATTCCAAAAAATGTTGCTGCCAAAATTCCTGTTAATTAAAAGATCAGTTTTTTTTAACTTTGATAAATAAGAAAATTTAGATCTGAATAATGATAACAGGGTATTGTATTATGGTCCCATGCCATGATTAGATGCTCTTTCCATATCAAACATGATTCACTGACAGTGGGAACCAGAAGAAATAAAATATATACCAGGATGAAACACTAAGATATAGGATATTAGAAATGGTAATATATAAATAGGAGATTATCTTATTGGCTTATTGTCACTTCTAAGCAACTTAAAGCCTCTACAACTGGTTTGAAACCGCCAAACCCCCAGATTGAACCCTAAGCTTCCCCAAGATACAAGTGTTACTAAAATATGAAGAGAATATCATCTGATTTGTGTTATTCCCCTCCCCCCACCTAGATTACTAGCTGCCCCATGATATAAGTGTTAATAAAGTAAACTAGAAGAAGAAGTGAATAAGGAGGTGTATCTAATTGAGAAGTAATAGTTTAATATACACCACAAAATAAACATGATATCTTATACTTCTGATGATTTTACCATACTTCTTCTCTAAATTCTACATTTACTCTTATTGTCTTTATACACTACAAACGATTTGCACCATTCCAATTTTCACTTTTATGTCTGCAGTTCTTGCACATAATAGCTATTGCCTTGAGATATTATCATCAGATTTTACAATAGTTATGTCATATATGGTTTGCATTTTTCTATAATTACAGGAATCACAGATAGAGAACAGAAAATTTTACTAGTAGAAAAAAAAGTCCTAAATGGGCAGAAAAAAACCTCTTGACACCATTTTAAATTCTCACACTTTGAGGGCCTAATGTTACAGTTTGGAGTATTATTGGTGGCATCCGCAGGGGTATAATGTGGAGGGTTAGAGGTATAATGCGGAGGGTTAGAGGTATAATGTGGAGGGTTAGAGGTATAATGTGGAGGGTTAGAGGTATAATGTGGAAGGTTAGGGGTATAATGTGGAGGGTTAGAGGTATAATGCGGAGGGTTAGAGGTATAATGTGGAGGGTTATAGGTATAATGTGGAGGGTTAGAGGTATAATGTGGAGGGTTAGAGGTATAATGTGGAGGGTTAGAGGTGTAATGTGGAGGGTTATAGGTATAATGTGGAAGGTTAGAGGTATAATGTGGAGGGTTATAGGTATAATGTGGAGGGTTAGAGGTATAATGTGGAGGGTTATTTGAAGGTTTGAACCAGAGCGAAGTTAAGGAGAAAGAGTTGATTATTTAAATTGATAAATCTCCTCCAGAAAAACATCTGGTTAACTCTGACACCAGAGATCTGGTATGGTAACATTGTAAACATTACATAGTTCCAATACATTTTATCTGGGTGAGTGGAACTGCCACTTTGGGGGGTGGGGGTATATAGAGTTGACAGCCTCAACATGGCATTGTCATTCAATTGTTTATCTGGAGTTGACTGAGCATTCAAACAAAGGAATAAACCACGGAGCTGTCATGGTTACTTTACAAACATCAGCAATACAGTACTGGTATTAACTTGAATGAATGACTTTTCATGTAGATTTTTTTGGGGTGGGAAATTTCAAAGCTTTGTTGACTCCCACAAATCTTGAAGATTTCAGATGACTGTCACTAGTCAAAAGTTTTGAGAAGGCCCCAGATCTGAATACAAGAATCTGTTCCTCAGGTAACAAAGTTCGTAATTTTGTGTAAAGTTCAAATCTTTAAAAAGTCAAAAATCTCAAAAAACCGTAAAGCATTGTGTATTTTAGTTTGGTTTTTTGACTGGCATCAGAATAATGAAGTTCAGTCAGTAAGTTGATGTTATTTTAAACTCTATATGAAATCTAAACTTGAATAACCCCTGTTTTTATTTTTATATAATTTTTAACCTCATCAAATCTATCTTCATTCTCAAGCAGGTGGACAGGTTTTCATTTTAACGTGTCTTTTAGAATAAAAATTTCTTTCACTCAAAATTTGTTGAATTTTAGTTAAATTTTTGTTTTGAGTTTAGATTCAACCCTTGAGATTTACATCAAACATAATTATTCAGTACATCACTATAAATAATAAAATCAAATTATTTCCATATTCATAAAACAAGTTTGAAATTTTTACAATCTTAGGGCAACCCCATCATTAGTGTGGGGTCGGTAGGGGGCTGGGCCCCAGCAAGTGAGAATTAAGCCCCAGCAAAACCTTCTTCAGTTCAGCAGAGATTGATTCATTTACAGTGATATAGATTTTGATAAGTTTTTGGTACCTCAAAATTGTCAGAAATGAGTTCTCAGGGTCTTTAATTCTTCAAATTTTCTGAGTACATAATCTGAGCCCCGGCACCAATTCATTCCTGGCAACGGGGCTGTCTCAGGAGTCTGAGTATTTACATTTGAATCTTTGCTTAGATCCCATTATCGTGATCAAACTTATTTAACCATGCATTGTTGAAAACTCTTCATTTTAATTTCAAAGAGTTCAAATGTTTATCCATTTTGATAAAACTAGTTTTGATTTTAAATTCAAAATCACAATCTTTCCTCAGAAGGAAATAATAAACAAAGGTGATAAATCTCTAGGGAATGGGACAAGAAAAAAATTCCCACCAAGTTTTGTCGTTTATTTATTTCATGTAGATGTGAAAGTCGAAAAGCAATTGTCTGTTTCCATTTACGACTGGTTTCCGAACTGATATCATCAGAAGCAATAAAAACAGGGATTAAGGTTGCTATGATACACGTAATACATTGTATCATTAGGGAAAGTATCCCAATGTTAAAAACATATTTCCCATTTTTTCTCGTTAGGTCTTGGATTAACTAGTGTCAATTATTTATCGTATAATTTCCGATTTCAGAGTAAAATTTGAGTGGTTTCTCTCTTGATTGAAAATATCAAAGTATATGTCTGGTTTTTTGAAAATTGATAAATATTTTTCTTAACACCTTCTTATAGCAGTAGAAAGAATTACTTATTCTAACAAGTTTGATTGTCGTCTGCTTGGTGCTTAGATGCCAAGGGTTCGAATCCTTATGACAAAAAATAATTCTCTGTCTCCACTAAGAGTTCAGGTTTGACTGATAAAAACTTGGACTAGGGCATGTTTACCTGCTTCAGTGAAACAAGGAAGAAAGGTGTAATAGTTTTGGATGATGGACCAACATTGGTAACAATCAGCAGTTGGTTTAGGTTGCGAATAAGATAACCAGTAATTTTCAAAGGCAACTCTGAATCAACTGAGTTGAGAGGGCCGTTTAAACATGAAATATTGTTAATTATAACATGGCTTACCTTCACTAAAAGCTGTAATAATAAACTTAAATCCTCTACCGGACGGACCATTGGAATTCGTTCTGTAATAAAAGAAAATATATTAGTTCAACCATTAGTAAAATTGTTCAGTTGGCTGCATCAGCATACATGTGTACAGGTCAGGATAAAAATCTGGTGCAGCACCAGCTATGTCTGATTACTGCTATTAAATGCCTGGTTCTGACTTTGTTCAAGTTAATATATTTGATGTACAATTTCAAGGCAAGGGGTGGATTCAAGGTCCAGCCAAATCCTCCAGCTCTGCGCACTACACTACCAACCCCTATGTAAATTTTACCCAACTGCCATATTTACAATAACCTTTTACTCCCTCTAGGATGGTTCACTGCTATCTTTACTGTTTCCACCCTCTTGGCTTACGAAATATGACCAATGTCAAATGTAATGACTGTTTAAAAAGAATAAAATACAAAAGAAATGTCAAGGTCAAGTCTGTTTTTGACAGACGGAAGAATGGAGTGTGTCTGCTGGTCTAATGAGGTCAGATTATGATCTATATATGGAAATAGAATTATGAAATCAGACGGAAGGAGAAAGATGGCGAGGTTCCGGTCATTTCAATAATCAATATCATGTCTCAACTTTTACTGCCAGAAACCAAAATCAACATTTTTCCAAAGAAATAAAAAAAGTTTTGTGTCCTACTCTTCTGCACCTAATTGTGGTTGCCCACTGACACCACTGACTCAATTTCAATAAGAAAAGTAGTTAAAGACAAGACCAAAATGAATATCTGTTAGAGTCGTATCTAAATCAGATAACTTGACATTTAAGACAAATCTAATAAGACAAGATCAACAAGACATAAGATGACAATTATTACAAGTTATTGCTCAATAAATGACTGGATAGATCACAGCTACACATTAGCATTAAGCCAATAACTGTCTAAATATGTGATCAAATACCTTTTCCATTAAACTAACACCTTTTCTAACTCTTTTAACAAAAGAGTGGTAATTAAAAGGGGAATAATGCAGATCCTCTTGACCTCTTGACCCCAACGAGAGGATATTGCACATGGAATAGTACAAATTGAGGTATCGATTGGGTCATCTCCATTTAAAGGCTTACTGAAATAAATAAAGAATTTCCAAATGACTACCTTCACCTTATCACACGTAAAAATGTTTCCAAGACCCTTCGACATTTTGCGATACTATCTAGGCCTCTTGAAATAAAATACTGTTTTGACCAATTTTCGGACTCTGGTCAACACAGGTGTGGAGTTTTGGAGTTTCAATTTTCTGAATCGGCAATTCCCAGTCAGCATGGTAAAGCGGCAGAATTTAATCTTTGACACAACAACATCACGATCGTCTGTAAATTATTATCCTCCAGGGAGGAAACTCAAGACAAACATTGTTGAAATAGGACTGGATAATTAGCAGTAATAAATACTAAGCTAGGCGATGACCAACAAGCAATCCTGTCCCCCAGGGATATCAATTGTTACACTTAGTCTTCGATACTTAGTCACATCTTGACCAATTAGCTTTCAATTGATTGGTCTAGTCTGTAACATCCAGTCTCAAGGCTGAACATCGTTTGACTGGCACAAAAATTCATCCTGGTCTAGAAAATAAACTATTTTGAATTCAAGAGAATAATTGTATGGGAGAGCTCATTGAAGGTTGCAGGGTGTCAAATTATCACTGGCACATTATAGCTCCTGTTCAATGTATATACATTGCTTTACTGACAATATCAATTCACCCTGATGAAGCAAATGAACTTTCCTGAAAACCGTATCAGTGAACTGACCCACCTAAACGACTGGACACTTCTTTCAATTCATCCTCTAACCTGTATCACTTCTTAGGGATTTTAAACATATTTAAACCGTTGCTTGTGGGGATAACAGAAAACTGACCCATCCAATGATTAGACACCTATTTCCATCTCAGTCCCTCTGTAATATGCTAGAATGCAGCACTGTTGGCAGCATGGGGAGGGTCTGACATTAGTCTAAAGTTATGTCTAGTTACAACTGAGGTTAGAGAAATTATAATAAAACAGTTAAATCTGTCAGTCTGTTTACATCTTAATCTCAACTTCAAGTATCCAACTCTTCAAATTCTTACTCTTTCTCAAGTATCTACTTCAAAATTGTCCTCTTTCAAACAATTTATAAGTAGCTAATAGTTTCAAATTTACTTTCCTGCCTGAATTTTAACAATTGTTATGCTTAATTCTAGTCTAACCTTGCAATTTACTAAATGTTTTTTTTGAATTCATAAAATTATGCATATATATATGATTTTCTTAAATTACTGAATTTCTGTCAAATGAGGGAGTAAAGGTTATAACTTTGTACTAATGACAAAGTTACGAAAGCACAGGCACAGGACTGATAAGTTTTAAGTTCTTTAATTTGATGTGTGTTAATAATGAGATGTTTGTAAATCCGGGTTCTGTACACTTTAAACTGATGTTGCAATGGACCAGTATCTAAAGGTTTTGAAATATTTATGATTCTTGGCCGTGTTTCAAATAAAATTTGTTTGGAAAGAAAATTGTTAAACATATTCAAAATTGAAAAATGACAATGACAGAAAAATTCTGCTATTTCCTTTAAAGATAATGAAAATCAAGAAGAAAAAAAGTTCTGAAACCCAACTTTTCAAGGAAAGAGACCTATACTTTCAATTCAACAATTTACGATCTATTTATTAGCAACGTTTATTAATCCTGCAGTTAATATTTATAATGGATATTACTGGACGATCTGATCTATAGGAATCTAAGATGATGTCTGGTTAATTGAATAGAAAAATAATTAAAACGACATGGAGTTATCTCTCTTTGAAACTTAAGTCAACATTCGGCAATCTTTAACAGGAATATTTCCCGTTTGTTCGTCAATCTAAATA